ATATAAAATACCAAAAAACATGGTTATTGGTTACTATAGTTAAACCATGGTAAAAACAACATGTTTTGCTACACTAACCATAGTTTAACCATGGTATTTGTAGTAAAACTGTGGTTATAGGCTACAATTGGTAATAAAAAGGCAAAAAAAAAAACATGGTTAGCCTACTATACTTTTACTATAGTAATACCATTGCTAATTTTCGTAAGTGATTGTGTATAGTAATATGAAATAAATGTTTTAATAGATTATGACATAGGAGGGTTACTGTAATCTTATAGTTTATATATTGCTTATACATTTTACATTGTTAAAGCTAATATTATATTTATATTAAAATATAATATTATAATATAAAAAAAATAATTTAAGCTAAGTTTGCTTAGCGTTTTGCTTCGTTTTGTTGCGTCGCGTCGAACGCGTAGCTACGCTCTTTGATTGGTCCACTGGATGCTGCACGCGTTCCATCCCCAACTCCGAGACGCGTCGCGTTTGTCACGCATTGCGCAGACGCGCCCCGGATCCGCTGGGCGTTTGTGCTGCTGGCGGGGTAAAATCAGCAGCTAGACGTTAAACTACACGAACTCCAGATGTGCAGAGGCTCGAGCAATAGTCAAAACCTCTGGATTATATAATCTTTGCTCATACTCGGAAGTGCACTGCAAATCAAGGCGCGAGGTAAGTCTGAACGAACGCTTTGGACTTTTCTGCATCCGTCGAGACTTTGTTTCACTTTTGTACTTTCACTCCTGTGTTGCTGACAACAAATACGTTTCACGTAAAGGTTGTATTATAGATTAACTGTTCATCAGGCAAAAGTCTTCACATCTTTTAACGTTTAAAGCGTCAAAAGACGTGTGAACTTCATTTCCTTGTTTTGCTGTGCCTTTAAACGGACCATCATTGGCTCTCATATTGTTTGCATGCATGCATTGCGGTTATAAACTGGGAAATCATTCAGTAACATGTTTAGTGTGTGTGAATGCATTGAATCCATTTCCACTCTGTTTACATCTAGACTGAATTCACATTGACTTCTCCATAGCATCTGAATAGTTTCAGGCTGAATGCATGCATGCATGGCTAATAAAAGCCCTTTAAACACACACGGTCAGCTGTTGTGGTCAGTGTGGGTTTACTGAATGACACAGGAAGTGATGAAAGCAAGGGCTGTTTCACCAAATAACCCTAGTATTTCTTATCTAAAACCCACACCCAGGCCACTTTGGTAGCACCAAGGAAAAGCTTGCAGTGTTACTTCAACTTAAAGGGGTCATATGATGCGATTTCATTTTTTCCTTTCTCTTTAGAGTGTTACAAGCTCTTGGTGCATAAAGAAGATCTGTAAAGTTGCAAAGACTAAAGTCTCAAATCCAAAGAGATATTCTTTATAAAAGTTAAGAGTTAGCCACACCTACCTAAAACGGCTCGTTCGAACACGCTTCATTACACCAAATACACAAAATAATGTTCTTTTTAGCAGCATCATATGACCCCTTTAATGTTTTAGATGCCACAGTCTCCCAAATATGACCATCCTTGCGAGAGGAACCACCATCCTACAATATAAAAAGCATCTGTAGTTTTTTAAATTTTATTTAAATACCAAATTTATATTGTGAAAAATTGGTAAGTTTATTATTTTTAATTATTTACTCATTTATTACTTAAAAATACATTAAAATATATAGAATTATTTATTTTTTTTAATATGTATGTTATTTATTTTTACCTACTTTTTTATTATTTATTTTTACATTTTGTTTATTAAATTGTATTAAAATCACATCACACCTAGGATGTAACCTGAGACTGCGCTGCACACAGAAGTGTTATTCTGCCACTGTTGACACGTGATCGTATCACAGCAGAGACTAAAGCAGCATTTCTATGGGTGTAAGCAGAAGCACCACTATTTACATAAGGAAGAATTGCTACAAATATACCCCAGCGACTTAACACTGCTTTTGTGCTCCAGGGTCACATATATTTTAATGAGGGTGGATTTGTGGGGTTAATGTAAGAGTGAAGCTCATGAAAACTGTCAAGAAATGCCCAGGACTGCATTTTCCAAAAGCATTGTAAGTATCATAGAAAGGAATAGTCTTTACAATCTACTTACACTTATGATGTTTTTGGGAAATGCAGCTCTGGATATATACCCCAAACTATATAAATAAGTTTCTCTATTTCTCTTTTCCATTGTGTCATTATTTCTGTGCAAATTAAGTACGCTGAAGAAAAAAAAAAACAGTGTAGAAACAATATTCACTCAGAAATTGCTAGTTAAATGGATTACAAAAAATAAATGTGCAATTTTGAAGGAGACAGACATACAAAATTATTCTGGCAACCACAGCTGCCAAAATTATTTTGTAAAAACTACAGAATTTTTTTTACAGTGACACAGAGCCGTCGTTCACTGACGAGCAGCGCAAAACATGCGCAAAATATGATCGTGGTTTTGCGCAGCTTGTCAGTGAACAACGGCTCTGTGTAGTTACTGCTGCTCCATGTGAAAGCCTGCGTCTTTCGTGCAGCCCTAATAGAGAATATATTTCATATGCATTACTGTAACTATTCATGTTATTTATGAGTCCTCTGTAAAGCGCTCATTTACTCTGCTGGATGTTTTATGGGAGATGGCTGGAGATTTGCCATCAGCGTCTGACATCCATCCATCCTTATCCTGAGATGAGCAGGAGACGTTCAGAAAGAGCTGGTGTGCACAAAACAAACAGCGTACGAAATGAAAACAAAGAAGCCCACCAGAAAATCATTGCTGAAGACGTGAAGCAACATTTAAAAAGACCCCTTGTCGTTTAGCTCAGATGCATTAATGCTAAGTCACTGTTCAAGCCCTGAACGCTCTATTTGTCCTGCTGGCAAACATCCACACAGTTGAACAGTCTTGGCAGCGAGTCTGTGTCTTTCCATGAATCTCACGCACCACACCCTTCCACTGCTCCACTTTCTCTCTATTCATGTCAGTGTGTTCACAACCACAGTTCCCATAAAACTACAACAAATGACACGAGTAAGATGATGAGCCGACAGCATTTCAATCAAACTAATAACATGTAGTTTAGAATTAAAGAAAGTTTTACCAAGACTCAGCCCTACAAATGAACACAGGGTACAGACTTGTTTATGGTTTAACAAACAAAGATGGCGTGAATCAGAACGGTGAGTAAGCAGTGCTTAGTTCCTCAGGTTAATGAATAGAGGAGGGGGAAGGTACATTAGACCGGTTTAACAAGCTCAAAGGAGGGAAAGGGAGGTTGCTTATTCACTGTTTTGGATGCATACTTGCAAGATGAAGTGGAGTTTGTTTCTTCATCAGATTTGGAGAAATTTAGCAGTGCATTACTTGTTCACTAATGGATGCTCTGCAGTGAATGGGTGCCGTCAGAATGAGAGTCCAAACAGCTGATAAAAACATCACAATAATCCACACCACTCCTGTCCATCAGTTAATGTCTTGTAAAGCAAAAAGCTGCGTGTTTGTAAGGTTGTGACAGCAGATCTCAGGCTTTGTTTGAAATGAATGCGAGTTTATTCTGCTTTCAGAGACATGTCAGAAGTCTCATGTTTAAGCACGGTGTAGTCAAAGTGTCCTGTGGGAAACTTTCTTAGGTTGAAGAAATTGTGAAAATAAAACTCCATTTGAAAGCATAGTTCACACAAAAATGAAAACTCTGTCATTATTTTCTCACCCTCAAGTTGTTCTAAACCTGTGGGAGTTTCTTTCTTCTCCTGAACACAAAAGAAGATATTTTAAAGAATGTTAGTAACCAAACAGCCGACGGTAGCCATTGACTTCTATTGTATTTTTTCCCATACTATGGCAGTCAATGGCTACCGTCAACTGTTTATATGAGTAAATGACAGAATTTCAACTATTCCTTAACAACTGTTTTTCATTTTTTCCCCCGCAAACTGTACATATTATAAACGGTGTTGTAACTTTTTTTAAAAGCTTTTTAAACAGACAAAGTGTGGAAATGCACCCATTTGTGTGCTCTCCTGACACTGAAGAAACAAAGCCACCTACATCTTGGATGCCCTGGGGGTAAGCAGATAAACATCAAATTTTCATTTTTGGGTGAACTATCCCTTTAAAATACATCAAAAAACTAGTTTGGATTTGTGCAGCTGCCTTTAACCATGAAACCTGAAAACATCAATCATAATAGAAGAATTGTACGCATATTTCACAACACTTCATTGTGTTGACACTTTGCAGGTATATTCATGACTTTAAATGAAAAAAAGTCACAAAATTAAAAGAAATAAAATAAAAATAACATTTTTTTCCAACAACTTAAAAATCAAGATGGGTCAAATGGACTCATATCTTAATATAAGGGTTAAGTCCTGACTTTCAAGGTTGGAAACATGTCAAATAAAGAATAATGCGTGAAAAGAATTGATACTGAATATGTTATAATTGCATATGTTTGCTGCACTATTTAGTTTGTGTGCATTTTGTGCCGTCAATTAAGAATAGTGATGAAAATTGCCAGAAAATTGGACTCATTAAGCTGTTGCCCCATCACGTTCTGTGAGTGCACAAGAATTATAAAATACATAAAGCATCAAATACTAAACTAAACATAACCTTTCCTCTTTATATTGTTGCATTAGTGCCAGTGTTCTTCTTGTCCTAGTCAGACAGCAAAAACATTGAAAAGAAATGTGAAATTGTTTATTGGACAAGGTTATTTTATAATAACAGGAATTCATTTAAAGACTCGTTCTTCTCTTTTCCAGGACTTCTGAACCAGATCTTTGTCGGCAGCTGACTGAATTAATGACATCCAGCATCATCTTCCCCTCTGATTCAGAAGTAACATATTCATTCTACTCGTCATTTCCTGTGTTGTGATTGGCTCGTCTCTTCCCCTTCCTCCGTTCTCATTGGCTATCTGGGATTACATCGTCTGTTAGTGCCAGTCCCATTAAAGCAGGTGAAAACATGGAGCCCATTTACGCCACAGGGATGGCCGCGAAGCTGCGGAGTCAGTGGGACCGGGATGCGGGTTTGGGTCAGAACCACAATGCCGTGAAGCTCCTGGGCCAGGATTACGAGTCACTGAGGTCCCAGTGCCAACAGACCAGGACCCTGTTTGAGGACCCTCTGTTCCCAACCAGCGCTTCTTCACTGGGATTCAATGAGCTGGGTCCACGGTCCTCCAAGACGCATGGTGTGCGGTGGATGAGACCGACGGTGAGCTGACCGCAAGGGTCGTGAGGGTCCGATGGGTCTGTCTTGCATTTGTTTAGCAAATACTTCTTCCTTCATACTCCATCACTGCTTGCTGTTCCTCTTGTTCTCTTCCATTTGCCGTATTTTAAAGGAATAGTTCACCCAAAAATGAAAATGTACGCACCCTTAGGTCATCCAAGATGTAGATGAGTTTGTTTCTTCATCAGATTTGGAGAAATGTAGCATTGCATCAGTGTCTCATCAATGGATGCTCTGCAGTGAATGGGTGCCGTCAGAATGAGAGTCCAAACAGCTGATAAAAACATCACAATAATCCACACCACTCCAGTCCATCAGGGTCTTGTGAAATAAAATGCTGTGTGTTTGTAGGAAACAAATTGATCTTCAAACCATTACCTCCAGCCAAAATATGAGTCCATAATCTATAATAACGCTTCCTCCAGTGAAAACGTCCATCCACTGTTGTCCTCTTAGATCAAAATCCAGCCACATATTTGTTTAGAGCTGTTTTGTGTTGTAAACGGTGCTTGAACTGTGCAGATTTCTCTCCTGATTCAGACCAGCCCACTTTTTCACTGGAGGAAGCGTTATTATAGATTATGGACTCATAGTTTGGCCAGAAGTAGATAGATTTGTTTCTGACAAACACATAGTTGTTGGCTTCACAAGACGTTAAATGATGGACTGGAGTGGTGTGGGTTACTTGGGGATTATTGTGATGTTTTTATCAGCTGTTTTGGACTCTCATTCTGACGGCACCCATTCACTGCAGAGCATCCGTTGATGAGCAAGTGATGCAATGCTACATTTCTCCAAATCTGATGAAGAAACACCATCAGGCCATCCAAGATGTAGATGAGTTTGCGTAAATTGTCATTTTTGGGTGAGCTATTTCTTTACTAACGCTTTACACCTCGGTCATCACATATGTTCACACATTCCCTAGTTTAACCTTTCGCTCTGCACATTCGTAAGCACTTCTGCGTGTGTCAGGTCACCTCTACTGTCAGCGTACTGCAGGATTTCATGGCTTCTAGGCAGTACATTAATGCATGGCTTTATATAATCACATCTCTCGTGCTTGTTGCTATGGGATGCTCAAGAGCCGAAATGATTTATCAGGAAAAACGGCTACTCATCATTATACATTCATCCATCCTGCCTTTATAAACTAGACATGACTTTGAATCTGAATGACATACTCCGTGTCTTCACACTTTACTGCATGTGCTCGTCACCGACAAACATAATGCAGTTGTTGAAAGCAGATCTGAATATATATGTGTGTGTGTGTTTGAATGAGAAGCACAGTGCTGTGCATCATCTCCTTCTGAAAATGCAAATCTAATTTAGCGTCACGCGTGTGTTTGCAGGAGATTTGTATGCGTCCCCAGTTCATCATGGATGGAGCGACTCGTACCGACATCTGTCAGGGATCTCTGGGTGAGTCTGTCTGCGTCATCATCAGGGACGAGGACTTTACCTCAATTCTTTACCCCTGATGTTTACCCAGTACGGTGATGTTTACTTTAAACACAGCGCCTCATTCATAATTAAAGCTCTGACCCTGCGATCATTAAATAAAGAGCTGCTGTCTCACAGCGGAGCCGCTCATGCATTATGATGACATCATAAAAGGCTACAGCGTTTAAACATGCAAAACCGCGAGGGAGCGCTGTGATTGGTAAGGATGTGTGTGGCGGCCCAGTGACTGCTGTTGTGCTTTTAAAAGCTTTAGTAAACATGGAAACAAAATGACTGACTGTCCCTCTTTTGTATCTGGTTTGTTTGGGTCTGGTGGCTATTTTAAGTTATTTACACATTCTCTGCGATGTAATGCATCAGATCATCTTCCAACAGCAGATGTGCTGTTTGGGGCAATAAATTGTCATGTTAAATGAATCCCAGAGACTGTGGCATGGAGATGTAAAAATGAATAAATACAGAGAGGAATGATGGATAAGTGTTTAATACACTTTAATACACTAAAAACCATTTGTTGGTGGACTCATAGATAGTTAGACAATTTACTACACATTTATTCAGCATAAAGAGCTAATGTATGTTTAACTTTTAAGTGAAACAATGTTTACTTATACTATACTATGTTTACTATCCTAGTTCATTTTAAATTAATTTGTTTAAATGCACACACTTCATTGTGTGTGTATGTGTGTGTGTGTGTGTCTGTGTGTGAAATATATATATATATATATATATATATACACACACACAAAGAAAAATAATTAAAAAAATAAAAAATTGTAAAATAAAAAATGTGCAATTGTACAGTTATTTAAATGATAATAATTTACAATATTACTGTTTGTACTGATTTTTAATCAAATATAAAGAAGTGAAATTTAAAAAGTTTTTTTGTTAGTTATAGTTAGAGACAATTTTCTACACATTTATACAGCATAAAGAACTATTTAACTTTTACAATTATTTGTAGTGAAATAAAACAACAACAAATCCCTAAATCTTTCATCGTGGGCCACACCACTGCAGACACTGATATTCAGATAATGTTTTCAATGACAGGTTCTTACAATTTGACCTCAGATATATTGAATATGTTTTGTATCACATCTCTTGTCTGCACTAAATCTCATCTGTTCATTATCTGTGGTCTGTTTTCCTCAGGTGACTGTTGGTTGCTGGCAGCCATCGCGTCTCTGACTCTAAACGATGACCTCCTGCACCGCGTGGTGCCACATGGCCAGAGCTTTGACGGCGGATACGCGGGAATATTTCACTTTCAGGTGCAACAATGTGACAAACGCTAGAACACGAGCACAGATCTAGGTCTGACAGTGAGAGAGTGTAGTTTTATACTACACTTTTAAAAATAAAGCTTTCAAAAGGGGTTTTTGCAGTGATGCTATAAAGAACTGTTTTTGGTTCCCCAAATAAGCTTTCTGTGAACTGTTCCAAAAAGAACCATTTTTGGCTCCCTAGAGAAGCTTTCCGTGAACGGTTCCAAAAAGAACCATTTTTGGCTCCCCAAAGAAGCTTTCCCTCCGTGAACAGTTTCAGAATTTCCCTCCATGAACGGTTCCAAAAAAAAACATTTTTGGCTCCCCAAAGAAGCTTTCCGTGAACTGTTCCAAAAAGAACCATTCTTGGCTCCCCAAAGAAGCTTTCCTTGAACGGTTCCAAAAAGAACCATTTTTGGTTCCCCAGAGAAGCTTTCCGTGAACGGTTCCAAAAATAAAAATTTTTGGTTCCCCAGAGAAGCTTTCAGTGAACGGTTCCAAAAAGAACCATTTTTGGCTCGCCAAAGAAGCTTTCCGTGAACGGTTCCAAAAATAAAAATTTTTGGCTCCCAAAGAAGCTTTCAGTGAACGGTTCCAAAAAAACAATTTTTGGCTCCCAAAGAAGCTTTCCGTGAACGGGTTCAAAAAAGAACAATTTTTGGTTCCCCAAAGAAGCTTTCCGTGAACGGTTCCAAAAAGAACCATTTTTGATTCCCCAGAGAAGCTTTTCGTGAACGGTTCCAAAAAGAACCATTTTTGGTTCCCCAGAGAAGCTTTCCGTGAACGGGTCCAAAAAGAACAATTTTTGGCTCCCAAAGAAGCTTTCCATGAACGGGTTAAAAAAAGAACCATTTTTGACTCCCCAAAGAAGCTTTCCGTGAAGTTGGCTCCCCAAAGAAGCTTTCCGTGAACGGTTCCAAAAAGAACCATTTTTGGCTCCCCAAAGAAGCTTTCCGTGAACGGGTTCAAAAAAGAACAATTTTTGGTTCCCCAAAGAAGCTTTCCGTGAACGGTTCCAAAAAGAACCATTTTTGATTCCCCAGAGAAGCTTTTCGTGAACGGTTCCAAAAAGAACCATTTTTGGTTCCCCAGAGAAGCTTTCCGTGAACGGGTCCAAAAATAACAATTTTTGGCTCCCAAAGAAGCTTTCCATGAACGGGTTAAAAAAAGAACCATTTTTGACTCCCCAAAGAAGCTTTCCGTGAAGTTGGCTCCCCAAAGAAGCTTTCCGTGAACGGTTCCAAAAAGAACCATTTTTGGCTCCCCAAAGAAGCTTTCCCTCCGTGAACAGTTTCAGAATTTCCCTCCGTGAACGGTTCCAAAAAGAACCATTTTTGGCTCCCCAAAGAAGCTTTCCGTGAACTGTTTCAAAAAGAACCATTTTTGGCTCCCCAAAGAAGCTTTCCTTGAACGAACCATTTTTGGCTCCCCAGAGAAGCTTTCAGTGAACGGTTCCAAAAAGAACCATTTTTGGTTCCCCAGAGAAGCTTTCAGTGAACGGTTCCAAAAAGAACCATTTTTGGTTCCCTAAAGAAGCTTTCAGTGAACGTTTCCAAAAATAACCATTTTTGGCTCCCCAAAGAAGCTTTCAGTGAACGGGTTCCAAAAATAACAATTTTTGGTTCCCCAAAGAAGCTTTCCCTCCGTGAACAATTCCAAAAAGAACCACTTTTGGCTCCCCAAAGAAGCTTTCCGTGAACGGTTCCAAAGAGAACCATTTTTGGCTCCCAAAGAAGCTTTCCGTGAACGAGTTCAAAAAAGAACCATTTTTGGTTCCCCAAAGAAACTTTCAGTGAACGTTTCCAAAAAGAAAGATTTTTGGCTCCCCAAAGAAGCTTTCCGTGAACGGGTTCCAAAAAGAACGATTTTTGGTTCCCCAAAGAAGCTTTCCCTCCGTGAACGGTTCCAAAAAGAACCATTTTTGGCTCCCCGAAGAAGCTTCCGTGAAGGGTTCCAAAAAGAAAAATTTTTGGCTCCCAAAGAAGCTTTCCGTGAACGGGTTCAAAAAAGAACCATTTTTGGTTCCCCAAAGAAGCTTTCAGTGAACGGTTCCAAAAAGAACCATTTTGGCTCCCCAAAGAAGCTTTCAGTGAACGGGTTCCAAAAAGAACCATTTTTGGTTCCCCAAAGAAGCTTTCCGTGAACGGTTCCAAAAAGAACCATTTTGGCTCCCCAAAGAAGCTTTCAGTGAACGGGTTCCAAAAAGAACCATTTTTGGCTCCCCAAAGAAGCTTTCAGCGAACGGGTTCCAAAAATAACCATTTCTGGTTCCCCAAAGAAGCTTTCCCTCCGTGAACGGTTCCAAAAAGAACCACTTTTGGCTCCCCGAAGAAGCTTTCCTCAGTGTATTTAAAAAATCAAAAGAACCTTTTTCCAGTATAAAGAAGCTTGGAAAGATTCCATGGATGTTAAAGGTTCTTCACGGAAGCATCGATTCCAATAAACTAAAGAAGCTTTATATTTAAGACTGATTAGGTTCAGATGCAGTTGTTTCTGTGCGATTTCACCAGCGCTCCTTTGTAGCTGTAAACTATCCACGAACCTTGCTCTGTAAACACACTAGCATGAGCAGTGGTGTACGAGTATTATAAAATAATGAAGCGCTGCTTGGAACAGTGTAAGACAGTCTGATCAATCTGTTCCTTGTGTGTGTGTGTCAGTAGTGAATTATTGTGCTGATGTGTGTGTTTCTGACTCGGTGAGGTGAGGGGGAGGGCAGTGCTGCTCACTGCTGTTCAAATAATGCAGTGGCAGAGAGGATTATGGGTAATGAGGTGACATAGCATGCCAAGAATCCTTTCACAATTTGTACAGGCGGCAAATGACAACACAGTACATCTTATTTGAGAAATACCATGACACTGAATGATTCAAATATTCATTCATCTAAGTATTTCCATATTATATTGAATGAATATCATGTTGCTACTGTAGTACTATCTGAAATAGACACTTATTGGTACTTTTTATTTGGTACTTCTGTGCAGAGTAATAAAAAAGAAAGCAATGCAGTCAGAAAGGCGCACAGAAGTTCATCAAACCCTCACACACACATAGATGCTCTAAAAATACAGACGTGCGCACGTGCTTCATGCATGGATGAGCGTGTGAACAAAGACACAGGATCCAAATATGTTCACTAATGTGTCTCTCTCACACACACACACACCGCATTTGTGGTTTTGCTGCTAGTTCTGAGTTCTGGCTCATCTGGGACTCATTTAGATTAAATTAGAAGCAGAAATGTCCTGAGTGTGTGTAAAACCTAATTACGAGAGAGAGAGTAAATCACTGAGAGACCTTCACAGACTGGAGAAATGCTACAGTGCATTTTAAACAATTTACGAGTGAATCTCACAAGCCTGGGTCATATTTAACTCCAAAATCATAAAGAAAATATATTTTGCGGAAAGACAATTAATGCTGTTATATGACCACTTAGATGTTTAACATTGTGCTTTCATGACAATTATTAGCATTTTTACAACTTATTATATGAAAGCATCAAATTCATGCTATCTTGAATGAATGACAATGTATTTTGTCGCAATAGTAAAATATATATTCTTTATGCAAAATGTACATTTATACATATATTTACTTTGTATGATATTTATTTTCTATAATATACAGTATATAGTATAATATATAATATTCATTTATATTTTGCATTGTCTTATTTTTATATTTTTAGTTTTTATTTTAATTTTAGCAATTTTTGTTCAACTTTTTAAGTTTAGGTTTTTTTTCTAATATTTTATTTTGGCTTGTTTTCAATTGCTGAAAATATATATATTTTAAACTAGTTTTAGTTAACGATAACACTGGTAAGATGATAATGTTTTTGCCAGTCTGAATACTTTCCGTACCCACTGTATATATATATATATAAATAACATCTTCTTATAAATATTCTAAATAGATAGAAGAGTTTGGAGATTCTTTATTTTGCGGTGAAAAATGATCCAGAAATGTTCTTGACAGGCTGTGTGACTTAATCTTGCCTCTGTATTATATAAATCAAATATCCTGGGAAGAAATTCCTCAGAGATGTGCAGCGTGATTCATGATTTTACTGATGTCTCTCAAATCCATCTTAAGCCTAATTTGAATGGCTCTTTACAGAAGTGCACATATAGGATGAGGGTGTGTATGTAGGTGTGTGTGTGTTTGTTATATATGGTGGATAATGTGAACGGAAATCTGCAAGTACAGGCAATTCCTTCTTCACCAATAATTCCTGAAATATATATCCGTGAATAATTAATGAGGGTTCACTAACAGTAATGCTGCAGTCATATCATCTCATCATAGTTACCATAATTAGAAGATGACAACTAAGAGATTGTGCTCCGTGATCCTCCTCTCAGAAAGTTTCTACTTACAGGTTTGGAAGTTGTAATTACATGATCTGTGCGGAAGCCAATTTGTTCAAACTGTTCTGCGTTTCTTTCCCTCTTTATGTCTTTCTGACAAACCCGGGAAGTAGGGCTGTCAAAAAAAATATTCAAATTTTGAATATTCGTCGAATTAAAAAAAGAAAATCCACATTCGAATGCAAAAACGTTGCATTCGAATTTAAGGTCTGCGTCAGCCGTCAGGCAGCTTACCAGTGGCGCACGAGATGCGATGACGATGTATGTGTCATTGATTGCATTTGAATGCTTTTGTTAGCCTATCCAGTTGAACCCACTAGATGCGGCGCTGCTACGTTGTTCATTCATATATTGCGGAAAACGAGAGCATCAGTGTGGAGAAGATGTTGTTTACGTCAAAACTGAAACCAAGCCGTTCACACAGAACGCATATTTATCACATTTTCTAGAGGGACATCTATCAACGTTGCACTCGCGTCTCGCACAAAAGAGCAGCATGTTTAGCAAGCCATGTAAAATTAATGCAAGTTCAACTTTGAAAAAAACATGTCTAAAGACATTATGGCGGTTTTTCCCCATCCCACTGTATCTCATGTTTTTAAATGAAGAAAGTAGCCTACTCTTTGTGATTGGATTTCGGGTCCTATGTATTAAACTATACATACATGCATGGTGCTGTTTTTTTTCTAATTGTTTAAGCAACTTTATTAATTATATATAAACATTATTTTAAACATTATGCACTTTTTTTCAAAGATAGTCGTGTTATTTTATTATGCTTTGAAGAAACGTGCATAATATTTTGCAGATGCGCCCTCTTGTGGCCATTCTTCTCTCTTGAGAGAAGCCAAGAGCTTTTTCCCCCCTAACTGAAATTATGCCTTTTAAATTAGAATATAATTCGAATTTTGATAATATTTAAGTAGAAAATTCGAATTTAGTTTTTCAGTCATTTTGATAGCCCTACCGGGAAGCTTTTCACCACTAATGCAGCAAAACAAACAGCAGAGGATGCGCTTTATCTGTGTAGTTAAAGGAACACTCCACTATTTTTGAAAATAGGCTCATTTTTCATCTCCCCTAGAGTTAAACAGTTGAGTTTTACCGTTTTCGAATCCATTCAGCCGATCTCCGGGTAAAGTTACGATTTTCTAGGCCGATATGGCTAGGAACTATTCTCTCATTCCGGCGTAATAATCAATGAACTTTGCTGCCGTACCATGGGTTCCTAGCCATATCAGCCTAGAAAATCGCAACTTTTCATTTTCCATCTGTCTAAGTATACAGTGTAACTACAGAAGAGTCAAGTTTTAAATAGGAAAAATATAGGAACTCTTTGGTCATTTATGAGCGAGATGCTAACGGTCTAATCAGATTCAATGATCTATGCTAAGCTACAGCTAAAAGTGCTACCGCCAGACCCGGAGATCGGCTGAATGGATTCGAAAACGGTAAAACTCAACTGTTTAACTCTAGGGGAGATGGAAAATGAGCCTATTTTCAAAAATTGTGGAGTGTTCCTTTAATGTTTTATCTGTGCATTTGATCATTTATGTGCAGCCACCTTCAGAGCGCTGCAGTGATGTTCTACTTTTGTAGGTTCGCATCACCATTGGCTTTTGAATTACTGCGTAATAAACTCTGTCACCTACAAAAATTTACTATGCTTACACATTTCGTTCATCATGATAATCTTCACAAATAACCACAACGTTTATGAAATTTAAAGCCTAAATACAACCAGCAGATGTAAAAAGCAAAGCGTGGGCTATAAATGACATCTACGTCATTAAGCTTTTGGAACCAGAAGTGCTAAAATGCAACTCATTTCTGAGTTTTGGCCATGCATGCATGCTATTCCTAAGAATCATACGAAGTATCTTTAACGTAACAGAGTGGGGTTCAATTATCAGTTGTTGTAGAGTATCTCCATGCTAATGGATATTTAACAAGTGTTATCGTAATCTACAAATGTGATTATTGACTGATTACAGAGCAGAAAGACAGCTGTGTTTGGGAGATATGCTGTTTGTGTATGTGTGCGCCACCTGCTGGACATACACTCTTAAAACATAAACATTTCTAAAGTTGGAATGGTTCTTCAGTGGCATCACTGCAAAAATCCTCTTTTGCAACCTTTATTTTATTTTCCAGAGTGTGTGGTTGGTTTTTCGTGGAACCATCAATGCCAGTAAAGCAGCTTTATTTTTAGGAGTGTATCTGAATCTCTCTGTCTGTAGTTCTGGCAGTTCGGCGAGTGGGTGGACGTGGTGATTGACGACCGGTTGCCCGTGAAGGACGGGAAGCTGTTGTTTGTTCACTCGGCGGAGGGTGGAGAGTTCTGGAGCGCTCTGCTGGAGAAGGCCTACGCCAAGTACGATCATCCTCAACTGTAAATGCGAATCAAATACAGGTTATCTGCACTTCTTTAGTCTATTTATTGCCTTGTTGGTCAGGCTGAACGGCTGTTATGAGGCTCTGTCGGGCGGCAGCACGTCTGAGGGCTTTGAGGATTTCACAGGAGGAGTCACAGAGATGTACGAGTTGAAGAAAGCACCCGCTGATCTCTTCAGCATCATTGGCCGTGCCATCGAGAGAGGATCGCTGCTGGGCTGCTCTATAGATGTGAGCGCCGATTCTTGCTTTTCACACTGTGCTTAACTCAGGGTTACAGTCAGGTGGAGACGTTTGAAGGTGGATTAGTTCGCTTTTAACCTTTAAATTATGAAGGATTTGAAGCCTGCAACCCTGAACTGCAGTGCCAAACCTGTGTTATGTGCAACACTGAGGCGCTAGAATGTTCTTCAACAGACAACCAATTAGAAGCAGCCTTATTAAATATTCATGAGCTTTGTACAGTCACAGAAACTTTAATGGGCTGTATTTAGTTTCTGAGGAAAACCGTCAAAAAATTTTTTTTGCTTTGTTTTTGCAGAATTACATGGACAAACTGTAAACAGATCACTTATTTTATGTGTATAGCTCCTGTCCAATAGTGTAATAAGCAAATTAATTCTTAAAAAAAAGCTAAATACCTACAAATGATAATTAATTACTAACTCAGGGTTTGGAATGAGGTGTGAAAACCTTGTTCTGTTCTTCATTGACTTTGCTTTGAATGCATTTTTGTAGTAAAAGATTAGACACACTTTAACAAACAAGCAAATGTTGTAAGGGTCAGTGTTATTTTTAGTATAATAATGAATTTTTAAATGTACAGTTTGAATTGACTTTTATGTTTGTATATTTTCATTTCAGTTTCATTTAGTAATTTTATGTGCTTTTGTCTTTTTTTTTAATTTAAAAAAAAAAAAATTATTTTACATTTCCAATGAGGTTTGTTTTTAAGTTTTAGTTGATTTGGTTTGGTTTATTTATTAAGGTGCAAAGGCAACATTTCTATTTTTTTCTCTACATTTCTCAGTTTATTTTAAGTTAATATTTTTCATCTAATATTTAATATTATCATTAGATGTTATCAGTGTTATATAATATTATCAAAGATGACTTATTATAGTTTTAATTTTAGTTTGTGATAACATGATTATTTGTGATTTTGTGCCATTTTTTATTCAAATTTTTTAAATATTTCTAGTTATCTTTTATTTTTTATTCATTTAGTTTTGGTCATTTCAACTTAAACCCAAGTTAATTGCCAAGGCAACATTTATATTTTATATTTATATTTTATCTCCGCTTTATTTCAGTTATCAAAAATAATTTTCAGTAGTTTTGCTCATCATATTAGTTATTAACCTGTTTGTATTGGTGACGGTGATTTTTGTTATTTTTTGTGCTTTTGTCTTTTTTTTTAATTAAAAAAAAAAAAATTATTTTACATTTCCAATGAGGTTTGTTTTTAAGTTTTAGTTGATTTGGTTTGGTTTATTTATTAAGGTGCAAAGGCAACATTTCTATTTTTTTCTCTACATTTCTCAGTTTATTTTAAGTTAATATTTTTCATCTAATATTTAATATTATCATTAGATGTTATCAGTGTTATATAATATTATCAAAGATGACTTATTATAGTTTTAATTTTAGTTTGTGATAACATGATTATTTGTGATTTTGTGCCATTTTTTATTCAAATTTTTAAAATATTTCTAGTTATCTTTTATTTTTTATTCATTTAGTTTTGGTCATTTCAACTTAAACCCAAGTTAATTGCCAAGGCAACATTTATATTTTATATTTATATTTTATCTCCGCTTTATTTCAGTTATCAAAAATAATTTTCAGTAGTTTTGCTCATCATATTAGTTATTAACCTGTTTGTATTGGTGACGGTGATCAATATCAGTGTCTGACTGTATTATGCATCTTTTTGTCCTCAAGATCACCAGTAAGTTTGACCAGGAGGCGGTGACCTTCAAGAAGCTGGTCAAAGGTCACGCATACTCAGTGACCGCAGTGGAAGAGGTGAGCCTTAAACACAAAGACATACAAAAACACTTACTATACACATCTATCTAGCAGGTTCTAGATGCAGCATGTCTTTCTTTGAAAGTTCCCAGGAAATGTATGAATGACCTAGAAGCATCTGCCAAATGCATGAATGTTAATGTAATATGAAATCAAAATTGACTTGATTGTCTTAATAGATGTTTCTGGTCTTAGTGTGTGTGTTTAATCAATGCAAGTTATTCCAAAGGGAAATGTATTTGTAATCAGAAATATTAATGATCTGTTGATCAGGTGGTGTACAGGGGAAACATGACTAAGCTGGTGCGCATCAGGAACCCGTGGGGTGAAGTGGAGTGGACGGGAGCCTGGAGTGACGAGTGAGAATCACACCAGTGTGCTGATTGATGCCTCACTGATGACTGTTCTGACGTGTGCGTTTGTGTGTGTTCAGCTCTCGGGAATGGGACAATGTGGACCGCTCTGTCCGGGGCAGATTACAGAACCGCAGCGAGGACGGAGAGTTCTGGTGAGTGGATCACGATCAGAGATTATCAGATGAGACCACACACACACACACACCTCTGCAATGACATATAAATGCCCATAAACTCTTCCAAACAACTAAGCAGCCCTAGAAACCCTCTAGCAACAACACAAAACCATATCAACAACCTATAAATGCCCTAAAAACTGTTCCTCATAAATGGACACGTTAGCAACCACATAGCGACACCCTGGAAACCACCTATCTCAGTAACCGTCTAGAAACCACACAGAAAACCTTAGCAACGACTTTTAAATGCCCTATAAACCATTCAAAATACAACTACATGGCAAAGCCCTAGCAACCACCCAACATAATGGCAACAAGTTTTGCATTGGCAAATACCACTCATTATCCTTTAAAAAAAATGCAAATCTCCCTACCAACACCCTACCAACAACCTATACATTTCCTTTAAACCATTCAGAACATAGCAACGCCCCAGAAACCATTAACAACTCAGAACACTATAGCAACGACCAGTAAGTGCCATATAAGCCATTTAAAACATAGCAATGCCCTAGAAACCACCTAACAACCAAACATAATACCCTATCAACAACTGTAAATGCCCTGTAAACCATTCAGAACATAGCAACGCCCTATAAACCACCTAACAACCAAACAGAACACCCTATCAACAACCTATAAATGCCCTGTAAACCATTCAGAACATAGCAACGCCCTAGAAACCACCTAACAACCAAACAGAACACTCTATCAACAACCTATAAATGCCCTGTAAACTGTTCAGAACATAGCAACGCCCTAGAAACCACCTAACAACCAAACAGAACACCCTATCAACAACCTATAAATGCCCTGTAAACCATTCAGAACATAGCAACGCCCTAGAAACCACCTAACAACCAAACAGAACACCCTATCAACAACCTATAAATGCCCTGTAAACCATTCAGAACATAGCAACGCCCTAGAAACCACCTAACAACCAAACAGAACACCCTATCAACAACCTATAAATGCCCTGTAAACTGTTCAGAACACCCTAGCAACCACACAAAACCCCCTAGAAACAATCTATGCCTTATAAACCATTCAGAACATAGCAACATCCTAGAAACCAAATAACAATCACTCAGAACACCATAGCAACGACCTATAAATGCCCTGTAAACAGTTCAGAACACATTAGCAACCATATAATTCGCCAGCACCGCTCAGTGGGTCACTGGTTCTCACTCTCTCTGTCAGGATGTCGTTCAGTGACTTCCTGCGTGAGTTCAGTCGGCTGGAGATCTGTAACCTGACGGCAGACGCGCTCCAGGCGGGTCAGGTGAAGAAGTGGAGCACGTCGCTCTATCAGGGCGAGTGGAGGAGAGGAAGCACGGCCGGCGGATGCAGGAACTTCCCAGGTACAGCAGGGGACAGGGAACGGCGGGTCAGTGGTGGGAAAACAGCCAAATCCTCATCTGCCTCTTTTGTTTCTATAAACCACAGCCACATTCTGGATCAACCCTCAGTTCAAGGTGACCCTAAAACACCCGGATTCTCCCGGCCAATCGGATTGCAGCTTCCTGGTGGCGCTGATGCAGAAGGACCGCAGGAAGAAGCGGAGAGAAGGACAGGACATGGAGACCATCGGATTCGCCATTTATGAGGTCAGAGAGCAGATCTCTTTGGTTTAAAGGGGTCATATGATGCGATTTCATTTTTTCCTTTCTCTTTGGAGTGTTACAAGCGCTTGGTGCATAAAGAAGATCTGTAAAGTTGCAAA